ATTGCTTTCCATCATAATCATTGATGAAAATAAGCAACAGTATTGCATAAAGCACAGACCCTTGAAAAGCCTGTCTTGATAGAACATTCTGCCTTGATGGTAAGCCATTTGACTACTTTTTAAAGATGACACGTTTCCTTAGCACATTCATGAAAATTCAATGTGCAACAGGGCCAAATGCTTTATGCTAAGAATATAAATATGACCACGTCATTAGATACTAAATATGCCAAAGAAAATTATGCAAAACAATCAAAGAACAAACTTGCATACTTGGAGTACAAGCCAAACCACTGTCTTTACTGCATTGCACAAACCCTCCAAAATAGAAGCAGGAAAACCATTTTAAAGCCATAACTAAAATAAAGTGATTCATGGCAATAAAGCCATACAAAATGGGGAGAAACTTGCAGCATTTCAGTATCATTAAGGTTGTATGCATAATAAATGTTTTTACTATTAGCAAAGAGAAAATTGGCTGAACATCACACTGGCTGGCTGCAGTTGAGCATCAGATGAATATTTACACCAGGTGCATACAGCAAGTTGCAGAGAGTTGATCATCATCTTAGCACAGAACTTCCACAGTCTTTTTCATCTTTATGCTTTATACATCACAAATATATTTTTCTCAGAGCGGTCTTAGAGCTTAATTCAAATATACTGGTGCCCATTTTAATCCTTCTAGTAGTTGCAGTAGATCTGGGGTCTAATTTCTAACGTTTATGTCTGACATACACATGAACTACTTTTAAACAACTTGTATTTGCATGAAATCCAGTGAAGGACTTCCTCTCTTGACCAGTCCCAGGCAAGTACAGCAGTAGTAGTAGCAATAGTTCTACACTAAAATAAGCAGTATTTATAAAGATTTCATTCTTCTCAGCCCGGACAAAAATGTTATATCTTGTCCAATATTTACAATTTGACAAATTAGCAGGTCCATAATTCTTTGGAAAAGAGACAGGAAAGCATACATCATAGAACCAAAACAGATCCCACAATGTGAAGGTATTTAAGTTCTTTTACTTAACAGTATTTTTTAAAAAGTCTATATGAAAGTTTTAGAAAATTGTGTGCCTCACAGGACATGTTATTCTCCCATATACTGAACAACAGTAACTTTATACCCACTTTTATCCACAAAACCCCTTCAGCTTGAAAATCTATCAAGAAGCTGCACTGAAGAGGGACTGTGCTCTTTCCCAGTAGTTCCCAGTGGTAACTGATCCCACTCACGTTCTTCATTATTTCATCATGTCAGCATAGCACATTTTTTCCCACTATGTAACCACACTTAATATAGTTTCCATTGTCCAGTAGTAGAAATCTAAGAACATAAGCTCTGAAGCTGAAGGGGTAAGAAAGATAGGACCGAGCCATGAGTGCCTGGGCAGCCTTAGGTCTCACTTGCACAGCACAACTGCAGTTGTCAAATTAAAAACCTTTATTCTTACAAATGTAGCCGAACAATTCATAAGTGATAAAAACAAAGGTCTTGTAGAATTAATTTATGTGTTTATTGACCATTTACATTATGACTAATAAAACCTCAGATCGATGCACTTTTCAAAATGGGAAGAAATAACTGCTTTTGAGCTAATTAATGAGTCGCCACCTCTTTAAATTTCAGAACAATAATTTGGGGGGTGGGAGAAAGAGAAAAAAATAATTCCATTTCTTGATCATACCACGTTAGTTACAAAAAGCCACCTACATTAGACTTTGCACAAAATGAGAAGATGGCCTTTGCCCAGTTCCTGCAGATGGTGTGCATGTATCAGCAAACACTTGGAATTATTTAGCGTTTACTATGCATTGGGACAGTGCTGATCAAAACCTTCTATGCTGGAGTCACATGGGAAAGAAAGTCTAGACATCAGAAATTAACTTACTTAATCTAAAATTGTATTGTCTACAATGTGTATTTTAATGTTTGTTGCAGGCCAAATGTATTTTTGCTGTATTGTGAATTATGTGTATGGCAGCCTAACTCATGGAGGCAGCTCTTATTAATTATTACTACAGGATAAACTCAATTGAACAAACTCTTTTAGTTTTAAAAAAAAACACCTTCTTTTTAATAAAATTATCATCTATCAGGATGTAATAGAGAAACTGAAAGCATCACTGATGCTGTTAACATCCTGATTCAAACTTCAGTGGAGCTGGATATATGTCTAATATCGTATCATATTTTAAAGGACAATCATCACCTGAAACCTTTAACCCTAGGTTAAAATCTTAACCTAAACTAACATTAAAAATATTAAGTAGCATCAGGTACCACCTCTGCTGAATCTTCTCCTTCACCTAATAGGAAAATATCATTGTGATATTATTCATTTTTTTCCCCGCACATCCTGTTGTTGGGATGCAAGTATCTTGGAAAATGAGTCTCAGCATATGCAGTGCAATGCAGTAAGAGGTCTGATACTGGAAAGCACCTGGTGTACTCAGTGTCTCCCACAAGCTTCCTCTACCACACATAAAACCTAAGCTTCAGCGACAATGCATGAGGTGGTAAAACACTCCTGTGAGGTTTGCTGGGGAGAACACAAGTAAACAGGAGGGGAAAAAAAAGGAGTAACGACTCATCAGAACTGGAGAAGTAGAAGATGGCTCTTCTGCTGCTTTTTTTGGAAGTATCTTGTAAGCTGGGCTGAACGAGCCTTGGCACACACAGTGGACTTTGCATACCACATGGATAGGATCTGGGACTGTTTTTAAAAGGAGAAACTTGACATATTGCCATAGGGCTATTTATAGTCACTTTGTTCATGCAGTGAAAATCTGACCTACTCATCTTTTTGGGTTTGACACATGCCTGACATCTAATTTTTTGAATGAGAAATTACAATGAAAAACCATCATAAACGCAACATGAGAAGCAAATAACTACTTGCAAAAAAAAAAGCAAGCAGCCACAGCCATGATAATGTCAGCAGTAAAGGTTAACCTCTAACTACAGCAATCCGGTGAGCTTTCCCTTAGGTCTGTTGAACCAGCATGCAGGGCTGGTATTCCATTTCACCACCTGTAACACTATACTGCTGGGATATGATTAGCTACTTAAGGACATCAGGAGCCAGACCTTCTCTGGGAATATGAGAAAAAGCAGAAGGACACTACTGAACAAAGTCAAAGTTAACGCAGTCCCTTATTTAGTGTAACGTTTATAAACATATTTCTTCAGATCTATCACAGAAAACTGAACTTGCAAAAGCACTGCCCAACAAATAAAATATATCTTTGCTGGTTATTTTACGTAGATTGCTTCACATAAGCAGTAGCAGAGGGGAGAACTGGCCTCCAAAACAAACACTGTATTTGGATGCTGCAAGTAAGCACTGTGTAAACATGTGTGTACAAAGGCAAATCGCAGTTAGGCTTCATTACAGGGGAAAACATAGCATTACATCTGAAATACTGAAATCTCAGTTATTGATACCTTTGCTAATAAACATAAACAGAGATCTAGACTAATTTGTCTGGGCATTAATCAGAGGAACATTCAATTTACATTCATTACATTCCCCCAAAGGCTACAACACATCTTGCTAGCTTCCACAGCATTCTCATTTTCCCAAATAAAAATTTTTATTACCTGAGAAATCAAGTCTAGTTTCCCTGAATGAGGTTTGCAGCTTCATCGTGTTCATTCTGGGAACATCCCCAACCCTCCAAAACAAGAAACAGCGTAGTTTATTCTTTCTAAAGCTAAAGCAGACATGAACTTTTTTATCACTGGGGAAAAGAAGTTCCATTCTGAACTATGAGGAGTCTGTTACATGATCCACTGAAATGAATGGAAATTTTACTCACCACTTAAGTTTCAAGCCAGATATTAAAGGGTGAATCTTAAGAACTGACTGTTGTTTAGGAGAACAGGTGCTAGGAGCTAAGGAATATTTGGCCTTCGGACACTGGGAAAGATAACTCGCCCCTTCAGTAGTCCCTAAAGTGCCAAAGCTCAAATGCAGGGGATACCTAGGGCCATATGTTGTCTCATTTCTCATCTTTCATGGGAAAAGAACAACCAACCAACCAAACTTTCTTTTCTTAGTTACAGTAAAGAACACCCCCCCCCAAAAAGTAGCACAGAGCAATCATGGCTTTACCTTTTGCTGAGCTTTGAGGGAACTGACACCTGGATCTCAGTTTCACACCATCAGCCTGCCTCTAGTTTCCTTTTCCTAAAGTAATATCCTGTTTTAATGGATACGGTCTTAACTCTGAACACAGACCCACAGCTTTCTACAAAAGCAGATCTCACAAGAACACTGTCAAGAGGAACTGCAGAAATCTTTCACACGTTTCATGCTCACAATCTGAGAGGCTGATAAAGTAATGATGATGTGCACCACGACAAACCTAGTGGGTTTATAATTATTCACTCATAAGGGCGAGTGCTTTGTACCAGACAAACATTATGCTGACAGCTGCATGAAACGCTTCATGACCAAAAGACAGGCAATTACTGCAGTAAGTATGAGACGCCACGCAAACACAACCTGAACTTCAGCACTGGCCATTGCTATCATACAGTTACATTTTAACAGAAGGACACAGAAAGGGAATTTTTTAAAACTCAGTTATAACTCCCTTGCAATTTTAAATAATCTGTCTTAAAACACAGATTTAAATAATTTAAACAGTGCACACACACTTGCATTGTCACATAGACCACTGCTGGTCCACAAGGCTCATTTTTGAGATTTTGAGACCTACTAACCCTTTCCGGAATGAAAAGGCTTTTAGGAAAGCAAACACAGCCCAACCAGCTGAATACCTCTCAGGTCCAGAGGTTAGAAGAGGGAAAGCATACTCATGGGTTCCTGTTGCGCATGCACAGCCTGGCACTGAGTATCAAGAGCCATCAGTGGCCACTGCTCCAGCTGGGTAGACCTGGTTCTCATGCAGGGACCTCTAGCTGGGACTGTCAGTATCAGACCCCTTGCATTTGAAACCCGCATGACAGATGTGGTTTTAATTCCTACCTGGTAAAAATAAATATTCTCGCATTTCTGCTCTGGCTTCTTCAGAGAAGCATCGTTTTTTCAACCACTCAGCTTCATATTCGCTTGCGTGTTCATCAGGCCATGTAATAGAGATCTTCCAATATAAAATGAAAGACAATTTTAGAACAAAAAATCTGAAAAAAACAATCACCCAGAACAACCAAAAAATTACTTAGAAAGTACACAGATTGTAATATTTAGATCAATATCACAGCTAAGCCTTCCCTGTAGCATATTGGCAAAAAAGTAATGAAAAACCAACCTGAACATCATCCAAATTCTGTTACCTTTTATAAACGGCCATTTTCACATGAATCCATGACCTAATTTGCTGTTTTGTGTGGGCTGCTTTCACTGTGGAAACTGTGCTTAGCAGAAAGAGGAGAATCACAGAAGCTGGCACGTATCACTGGGGAGGGCGCCACACCACAACTCAGAAGAGCGAAAATATCTTTCAAAACACTGACAGCTTGTTAAAAAAGAAGGACAATAAAAAAATGCTAGGAGAGAAATCCTTCTCCCAGTTTTGAAATGTCTTCCCCCTCTCAAATAAATTTTTAGAAATTTTTTTTTTATTTCTGAGGAAAAAAAAAGGAAGGAAAGCATATGGCTTTGCTTGTCACAAACCAAAAGAGCTCAGTGCAGCACACACCCCCAGCTGAATTCTCAAGGCTTTGAGAAGGTATCAATTCTCATTTCACATAATTCTGCTCATTCACATCAAGGTAACACACCAGTACCAGTCTGGGATTAGTGCTGTACTTCCTTCAGTTCCTGACTATAAATGGAAGCAGACAATCCCTCTACTACTGTAACACACTGGCCTATTCTAAGCATGAATTTACACGGCATTATTGTTGGTGAAAAACAAACAAACAACCTGGGACCCCAGAATTCCTCAATCCAGACCCTTACCCTCGGCCGAGCCATGCTCCTGTATGGGTCAGCCTCTGCAGACGCCCTGCAGCGAGGCTGCCCCAGCTGCTACAGGGTTGACTGCTGCATCTTTAACATGTATAAAAGATCTTGTACTGTAAAAGGAAGGGAAGGGAGTTTGCATATCAAAGGGGCTGTGTACTGCTTTTAATAAAACCCATAAAAGCTAAATGATACACTAGGTATTTATATGGCAGGAAAGATTAAAATTCATAGGGAGGGCAGTTCCTGTCCTCTCTTGCCCAATAACCTCCTCTTCTAATGAACAAATGTTAATGTACAATAGGTAGATACAGATACAGATACAGATACAGATACAGATGCAGATGCAGATGCAGATGCAGAATGCAGACACTAGGCCAACTCTGAATATTGGGTCCAACTTTGGTTTGAGTGCTTGCTCTAAAATGAAGTCTTTTGCACATTGGAAAATAGCTAATTAACTAATAATTTGGTTATGGATTATGGTCATCATCATTTTGCTGTTTGTTTTTCTAATTTTCAAGACATTTAATTACAGAATAAAAGGGAGAAACAAGACATATGTGAAAGTGTAATTAAAGGTGTGGGGAATGCCTGTATTTTCTTTTGAGCATCTGGTGATGCAGCAGCATACAGCAGAATTTAGAAAAGCTCAATTATATTCTAAACACCAGAACCTGGGTTTCTGTGCTTAATATATAACATCTATAAAGTGAGGTTTCATATAAAGGTGGGAAGATCCGAGTTCCCCAAATTGGGATTATTCCTGAAAGCTTTGTTAATACACAGTAGGGTTTGTGGATAAAATGAACTGCAATTACAGTATAACCTGGGATTGCCTCTAATTTAGAGATTAATGAGAATTGTTATACAAGTTTCATGAGAGGGAGAATGACGGTTTATTTCAAATACCTTTTTTCTGTCTGCCAGAATGACTTCCTTCACCACGATGTTCACGTCCAGGTCCTCGAAGACCAACTTGCGCGCCCCAGCCGAGCGCAGGAAGCAGTGGGGACACTGGCAGTTGTCCCTCAGCCAGACACAGGGGTAGCGGCTCTCGCTCCCGTCCTCCCACTCCACCCGGACGAAATGACCTGCATCCAGGGCTTCCACCTTCTGTATCCCCAGGCTCATGCTGAACAGCTGGGCAGTGTGGATGCTCAGCACAGCCTCCTGCCAGCAATGCTGAGGGGTCCTGGCGAGCAGGCTCCTGCCCTTCTGCGCCAGCGGCAGGCAGCATACCCTGCCTGCAGGGACTTTGGCCCTGGACAGGACGTTAGCCACCGTCCTCCACATTTTGGCTTCTGCAATGAAATCGTCTGAGGGAGAACACCTTTGTGGAATTCCTAAAACACCATGAAAAGCAGCTTGTTACTGAAGGAGTCCGTATAGCAGAAAGACCATTGTAAGATGATTCTCCCTTCCCTTCCTCCTGCCTAAACCTTTAGGAAGACTCATTATCTGTTGGTTACATTTTTTGAGATGCAGAGGGTGCATTCAGACCTACCTATTCAAAACCCCCTTAGTTTAGCATGACTTCAACTTGATTAATAATCTTGGCTGTCTTTTGTTTCTGCAGTCAGTTCACTATGTACCACACAAATAGTCTCTTTTAAAAAGACACCTGAGTTGAATTCCACAAATCAAAAGCAGGAGCCACTACTAAAGCTTTAAAGTACACATACTTTAGTTCCTGCTGTGGCTACTATGGAAAAAAGAACACGGAATCCATCTCTTGTAAACATGACTTCAGCTACACCAACAGAGTTCTGCAAGAGCTCCTTTCTCCTTTCACAGCTGCTTTCTAGATACACCCTTTTATTTAAGGCTGGCTGCATACTGTACTGCAAGAAGATGATGCATCCAAATCTTAAATTAGAAAAGAACTTCTGGTCTAATGTTATGCTTAGTCAGAAAAATACTTGACCTCTCACTGAAACAATAAATCTTTACATATATTTTTAATAGAGTGTTTAACCATTTCAGACATTGCATAGTTATTTAGTATCTTTTTCTGTTGTTTGTATTCTTAAGCTCACATGGGAAAATATTGGTGCCCTGCCAGGACCGAAGCATCCCGACTTCTCTTTGCACAGGAAAAATTTCACTGGTTTCAGTATTTTGACTCACTAAGACCTACTAGAGTTTTCAGAAGGTATTTTTAATTTTTATCTTTGCCACAAGTTAGAACTAGGTTGTACAGGTCCCTTGGGTTTCCTTTTGCTTTTATTTCATTTGACTGAGTACAGCAAAGCAGAATATTGATTTCTACTTTCTCTTGTTTGTGTGCAGTAGTCTCATCAGAATACAGTAATTACCAGCTTTCACTTGCAACGCAGTCCAAGCCACAGCTATAGTTTTGTGCAGACTTAAACATCTTTTATCCAAAATGGGTTTATATCCAGATTGAATCTTTCCTTGTATATATATATATATGTACACAAACATACACATGTAAATATATATATATGTGTGTGTGTGTGTATCTCCACCTTAAGTGTAAAGCATTATTCAACTACTGCAATTTTTCTTGTAACTGTAAAAATATTTACACAGCAAGTCTGGCTGCAGTTTTCTTCTGAGATTTCCTGGACAAAGTTTTATTAAAGTACTGGAACACAATGGTTTCCAATATACTGAAACTTTAGAATATCTGATTTAAAAAAAAAAAAAAAGAAAAAGAAAAAAAAGAGGACGACCATTTTAACATACAGTAAATTTTGCTACATCTGTACCGATTTCAGGATAGTTGTCTGTTCAAGGCAGTGGATTATCTGATGGCATGGGTCAGACCCACAAACACACTTAAGCAACCAAAATATAGTTTAGATGGAATTACAACAATTAAGATGCAGAAGCTCAAGTCATGAAACTATTGCCTAATGGCTTAGGCAACTCAGAGGCTGTTGGTGTCCTTCTGCATATGAAGTTATCTGAATCCCTAAAATGCATTACTACCCATATCCAAAATCAGCATGATGCAGCATGGCACTTATATCCACTTGAATTTAAGAACACCACAAGAAAGTATATGAACAACATAAATGGTCGGATCAATTTATTCTGCCTGTCCTTCAGTGGATTCAAGTACAGAGCACTCTTCCCAGAACCAATAACCCAGCTCCTTTGAGGACACAGATGCTTTTCTCTGTGTACTAAATGTAAGTAAGTACTCCTGTAGGTATCTGCTTAAGACAAGATCATGAGAACCAGAATTTGCTTCTGAAGTTTAAGGATACCAGAAAGCCTTACCTGAAGGAGGCAGGGGAAATTCTGACGACTGGGTATACAAAATACACCCATGTGAGCAGTTAATTACATAGTTTGTCAACAATGTATTTCATACATTCATTACATCCATCCATCCACCCAGTAGTTAACATACTGGTTTTGTACACAATTTTCTCATTTTACTTAAGTGTCTTACCAAATAATTTAAGTATTATTCACATGCTTAAAGTTTAACCTAAGCAAAGGCTCTTCTCCTTTTAAATTTAGTACAGAGGTTAAAACTACCTGGATGTTGTATATGAACTTCTTATAAATCTTATTCTTCAAAACAGCAAAACAAAGGGCAGGAAAAAAATATTCAAGCCTTTACTTTCTGGGAAGATGCATCACTAAGTTTCAATTCCTATGTGAAGTTTGCCAGATTCAAAGTGCGTCTAGGCATCTATTTTATCATTCAATTAAGAAATCTGAATTTGCTTCTAAGAGACTCCTCGTAGCACTATTGGTAATAGAAAACCACATCAGAATTTTCTTTTATGGCAAGAAACCTAGGTGAGTTTATTGTCTTCCTATTATAGATGTCACTCAACTGGTATTTGTCCACCTGGTAATGGATAACTCAGTCACACAAAATGCATGTCAAGCAGAATCCCTTCTAAATCCACAACAGTAAGTTTTGTAAATGCTTTGGAATAAAAGATCAACCTACAAAAAAGAAGATGCAACCAATCCTGCCAATTTCTAGATTAAGAAGAAAAAATAATAAAACTTTTGGAAGCTACTGAGGTGTATTACATGTAGTTGATGTTACAATGGGGAAGGCTGTAAGCCAAATGGGAATTTTCACCTTTGCTTGGATGCGAGAAACTTGTACAGCAAGGTTTATCTCGCCTAACTTCTGGCATGTATCACATGACCTACACCTGGACATCATACGCACCATCTCCAACACTCCTAGCAGGCACATCTAGATCACAATTCAGCTGACCTTGTCAGAAATCTGCTTTAGGATGAGACGAACTGAACTCTTACTTCTGTCCACTGACCACAGAAAGAGCCTCAGCAACTAGCTCCAACATGGATGTTAGACTGTCTGTGTTTACATTGAGCAAGACTACTTTCATAACATTAATTTTATGATTAAGTGATGCTTCTGTTTACAGACAACTATTGCTACGTGCAATTTACAAAACACAATCCTGCTGGGAGAATCGTGGGTGGTGGCAGCCCTAAACTTTACTACCAGACAGAGAAAGCTAACATGGCTGTCAGTGGTACTCCTGTTCTATAAGACTTCAGTTTTTGGTGTCATCAGTCAAACCTATTGTTCATCTCTAAGTACCCTCCTGAAATACTTCTCATAGCCAGAATCTGACACAGCACCGCATCCTGTGGAGAGAAGGGAGGATCTCCTTCACAGGTTGCAGCAGGAGCCTCTGATACATTTAGGGTAGGAAATGATTCCACTGGAAACTTTGCAATATTAATAAAAATAATTATACGTGGCTCTTTATAATATGCAGATCTACATTGCCTACTGTTACTCTGTACATATTCGGCTCTTTCTTTTACATCTATTTACTGAAGTCAATAAACTTTTACCTGTCTAACATCACTGTTAATTAGGAGAGAATCTTGCTGGTTATGCAAGAAGAAGCTGTGAGAAATACTACAGCAAAAAGATTTCCCTTGTGGTGAAGTTAAGCATTTACTCTTTAAATACACTGCAGTGTTTGCATTAAACTTCTCTTTCTGTCTTTTCTGTAAAGCAATTTTTTGGGTTAGCCACCTACTGAGAGAAATCTTGTAACAATAAAAAGGCTGTTTATTGTTTTCCTTGAGTTAGTCATATCATAGTGTCATTATTAAAATGAAAACCCAGATGGCAATGATTAAAAATATCTGCTACAGTATGCCCTCTAGATGTTTTTCTTCTTAAATACAGAAATTAAATAGATCTGCAAGTCTAGTTTTTGTCCCATACACACAGCACCATAGCAGGACCTTCTCCATATGGTAGGATTTTTTTCTGATTTATATCAGTGGGATGCTAGAGTATTCTGGGTCAAGTTCTCCACAGAGGCCACCTGGCGTATCTTCACTGGCCTACTCCAGTGAGGCATTTCACACCAACCAGGGATTTGCCATGACTTCTACTACAGTGCTCAGCCTTCCCAGCTGGGAGCTGGGTGCCAGGCAGGTGTCAGGCACATCCAGCCCTCTCTTTCTCACTGTGCACTGTGCGAGATGGATGGTCAGGATCAGGCACCAGCTGCTCTGGCCCTCCTAGGGACCACCAGCCTCCAGCACTCCAAAGCAGCAAGGGGGAAGAAGGAAACCAACAACTCCTTCTGGAATGACAAACGCAGCCCAGTGCTGGCATATCTCCTTCCTGGAGCAGTGGCTGACAGAACACATAGAGCTGCGACACAATATTGCTCAAGCAGCACTAGCAAGCCCCTGGCTGCCACAGAAACAAGAAACCCCAGTCTGATGGCTCTGCCCATTTCCAGTGTGCTGTAAGGGAAGGAAAGGTGTCCATGGACTGGATGATTTGTCTGGAAACTGTCTGTTATTCCTGATTTCTAATTATTTTTTTTTTACATTGAGCACATACAGGACATTCAGGTGAGCCTGCAAATGGCAGTAAAGAACTCAGAACTGTTCATACTGATAGCTTCAGAAAATTCTGCAACTGTGCATTTAAAATTACCACACAGAAGCCAACTCCTACCTTCCCACTCAATGACAAAGAAAACATTCCTCCTTCTTTACTAGTAAGTGTATCTACGAATGATGTAACTGGGCAAAATTATCATCTCCATTCCTGATCAGTGATTTGTACAACTACAACTACCAGGTTATAATGCTGTTTTCTCAAAACCTTTATCTTAAGACACGAT